GCTCCCCCTAAGTGCTTTTCCCCTAGGAAGTACATATGGAGGACATACCACTTAACCTACGCCGGAGAGAAACTGGCAGATGACAGAAAGAAACTGAGAGAGTAAGTAATCAAATCTCTTCTGGCATCTGTGGGGCTGGAGAGGCCAAGCTGGAGTCCACACAGCATCTGCACAGGCAGGGCTAACGTGGGACTTTGTGCCCTGGCTCAGGTAGGTCCTCCTAGCATTGGAAGAGGCTGCCCAGGGAAGTGGTGGAGTCCCCATCCCTGGAGGTATTGAAAAGACGTGTAGATGTGGCACTTAGGGACATGGTTTAGTGGTGGACTTGGCAGCGCTACGTTAGCGGTTGGACTCGATCTTAAAGGTCTTTTCCAACTTAAATGGTTCTATGATTCCACTTGAAATTGACTGCACGATGGGACCAGCACTGCACACAGAGGTGGGACAGGCCCTGCCCTGACAGACTGAGAGGCCGTCTGCAGGACAGGAAGGCCTCAAGTAGTTCCTCCGCCACAACCATCCTGTGCTGAGTGTGTTCGTCCAATTCAGACCACACCAGGGCACTCGGACACATTGCCCCTTGGCCGTCTATGCCAAACTCCTGCAGAATAGGCTATGCTTACTAAGGTTACACCTGAGGTATCCTGCAGAGACAAGATCAGTGAGGAAAAGCATGAGTATGAGGGGAGTAGAATACAGAGAAGGCCGGGAATGGTGTCACGCACGTGAAGCACATCATTAGGTCATTTCCACGGAAACTGGGAGCTGCTCAGCAGAGGATGGGGTCAGGACACATTATGTGGTGGAGGGGATCCAGGGTGGGAGGGACCTCTGAAAGTCATCTAGTCCAATCCTCTGCACAAGGAGGGTTCGCTAGAGCTGGTTGCTCAGGGCTGCGTCCAGTTGGGTTTTGAGTATCTCCAAGAATGCAGACTCCACAACCTCTCTGGACAACCTGTTCCAGTGCTCAGTCACCCTCACAAAGGGCTTGGCAGAGCTGCTGAGGTAGAAAGGTAGGAAGGAGGGTGGAAGAATGACAAGCAAAGAGCAAAACAAGGATAAGAGTGTTGGGCTCTGGACCTGCTCAGCCACGTGTCAGAGACCATCTAGTAACGACACTGACAAACCACTCCCACGTTTCCATGCCCGTTCTCAAGGCGAGGAGGCAGGAGGTGCTTCTGAGCACTCTAGCTGTTGCATACAGCAGTGCTGGGTATGCCAGCCTGCATGCAGACCAGCAAGAAAAGCTTGTCTGAAGTATTAAAAATTTAGCAAGGCAGCCTTAATCAAAGCTGTCCTCGAAAGACTGAGCCATGGGTGACAGATGTTGCATTTAAGGGCACGTTGCAGTTAAAAAGGCAGATGATCAGATCCTTCAGTGCTGGCAGCATGTTCTATGTACACAAGTGAGAATTTTAACTTGTCCTGCGTTGGAGCACAGCACGCGACCGTAGGAGTCCATCTCCCCCTGGGAAAGAGGAGGCTATAGGATTTCAAAGGTTGTGGTTTCTGGGAACCTGGCATATAACATCATAACTCTCTGCTCAGGTATGGCATCAGAAACCGGGATGAGGTCAGCTTCATAAAGAAACTTCGAAAGTAACCTATCAATCAGGTAAGTCCTAAATATCCATTAAGAGCTACCAACTCTTCATCTTCCTCTTCCCCAGGCCTTAGTGTTCAGGCTCACAGCAGCTGGTGGTGCTGCTCTGCGCTGCGTAGCGGAGCATTTCTGAATGCTCATGTCTGCATTAGGCTTGTGCCCTGGCTCTGGTCTGTTTCCACATCCTGGTTGTGTTGCTTGTGCTTCTCTCAGGGCGGGGAATGATAATTCAGCTGCTGCAGTTAACACATCAGGAGCAGCACCAGCAATACCTTAGCGCTGGCAGTGGTGTATCTCTAACCCTACTTTAGGTTTAGACTCTGAATCTGCTCCCACAATGTCTTGAGATTCGTTAAATGCAGTGTTCCTTTGCCCTCGTGATTGCTTCTAGGACCTTGCTTTCTTTTAGGCTTCTTGAATCTCTAGAAATCACTGCTAGGAATGTGGCTGGGTGCTAACTAATCCCCAGGAGGACGGAGGACTCTGTGCTACAGGCGATTGCCATCACCCAGGTCATTTGGGTCCTCCTGCGTGCCTCAGACTCTCATATCCGAATGACTGTTCTCCCACCCTGCTCCTAGTGCTCCTGTACCGTTCAGAGCACCTGCAGCTAACAGAAATGGCCCACGGGGGTGCATAAGCAAATGCAACAAGCAAACACAGCATGTTCTTTGCTGTTCCACAGTGGGTATATTTTGAGCCATCTTTCTCAATTACTGCAAGCTGTAAGGGGTTAGGAAAAGGGACCTCAGCTTCCCTATCCTGTAGTTTCTGTCTCTCAGTTTCTCCATTTTCTGGTTTATAGAAACTTGTGTTCAACTGATTCATTCTTCTCAGAAGACAGGACACAGCACTAGACAACTTTCGGTCATGGTATTTCTGTGCAACCGATGCATTTAAAAACACTTCCAGCACCGGAAGCACGAGTAGCACGTATATTACGTGTTTGTAACCTATGTAGACATAATTCTGGTATTATACTGCTATTTTTAGAAAGTTGTGCATACAAACACAAGATGTGGCCAAGTTTAAAATTACGTTTGCTTCCCCTCAACATCTAAAAACACAACCACAGTGTCTGAGGAGCAGTGGTAATAGCAGCTTTTCCAAACGCTTGGGTTTTTGTTTTGCAGCTCCAGCTGGCTGGGTTAGAAACTGTTGCTTTGTGATCACAGTAACTTTTTCTCTTCTTTCAAGAGAAAAACATCCAGTTTTTCAACATCCAGTGTAATAAAATGGGTGCCATGAGAGAAGCCATCTGCCCCATGGTGCCTATGACCAGCAGTCACCTATGGCACTGGCTGATCCCCCCTCCCCGGGCCTGTCTAGGCAGGGTAGTGTGGTGATAAGAGAGCCCAGCATGCAGTAACTATTGTCACTGACAAATATCTTCTTTCTTTAACAGAGAGAGCAGAGAATCCAGCACTACCAAGACCAGACTGTGGATTCAGCAGGTTCCCGGAGGAAAAAAGGTTGTAACATTTCAAAGAGAAACAAACTCCAGTTGAATGGACGTTCTCACGTTTTTTGTAGTTGCTATTTGAAACGTCTGCTTCTCAGCTGTATGTGGAACGCGCTTTCAGTGATTAAAGAGACCCTCTAGTTTTCTGAGGCTTTTAAGGCCCTTATTTCCAGCTGCAAATCTGCCTCTGACTGTTTTGGGTGCTAGAAAAGGATTGCTTCTACTGATACATGAAACAGCATAGGTGAGAGAAAGTAACAAACGTAGCCACAGACTATGCAGAACAATTAACAGTAGCTAAAACGCTACCTTACCATTTAATCACCACCTTAGCAGTAGTAAACAACTCTGGTTAAAAATGTAGTATTGAAACTAGTGTAATAAAAATAATGGCAGCAGAAAAGGTTCAATACAATTGAACAAGGCACAAACGTTCTGTTTTCAGAGTCTTCTGAGATAAGGCAAAACATGCCTGCCAAGTGCTAAGGAGACAGTTTAAATTAACCACGGGCAGGGTTAGAAGTGTCATTGGATTAGAGGCTTTGTCCACATGGAACCGGCACAGCAAACGCAAAGACAGTCCATCTCCAGTGCCTGCTCGAGAAGCCAGTCTTTGCCTTTCAGTGGAGCTGTGCATCCAGGTCGTATTTCTCGCAGAATTTGTCTGTGAATGGTATACAAGTAAGGAACTCGCACCACTCGCACTTGATGGGGTAGAAATAGAACAGAATCACAAGTCCTGAGAAGAGTGCAATGAAGATGAGCTGGAAAACTATAATTTGGCATCGCTTCCTATATAAATCAAACTTCCCAAAGCTAATGTAGGGCAGGAAGGCAAAGGAGAGGAAGAAACCACTGATAAATCCTGAAATGTGAGCAAAATTATCAATCCAAGGCAGGAGGCCAAAGGCAAAAAGAAAGAGCACCACAGCCAGCAGCTTGAAGAAAGCCCTCCATGGGCGTGCCAGGATTTGCCAACTCTGGAAGAGCTCCACAAAGAGACAGGCCAGAATCCCAAACTGGGATCCTGCAGGGCCAACCTGCAGAAGAAGAGCATTACAGGTAACATCAGGCACATCCCATCTGCCTGGCTTCTGCAGCCAGCTCCAGGCATTACAGTTATTTATCATTCAACTCCTCGTTCAGTGTTTCTTGGGAAAGAGATGCCACGGCCTGCGACTTCATCCTTATAACGGGGTTCAAGGAGTAAAGGGGCTTGGTTTGATTTAGCATCAAGGTAGGTGTGAGGCCAGCAATCACCAGAACAGACTCTATATTTAAGGAGGGCAGATCTGGTTTAAGCCACCAGAGCGGAGAAGCCCTTGAAGGCTCTCTCCTGGCTCCTCCCACCCACCATGCACTTTTCCTTATTGAAGGACCTGGAAGATAGTCCTCCAGGTCCTGCCACGCAGCCTTCTGAAGTGAAGCTGGCTGGTCGCATCAGACTTCTCCAGCTGTGGCATGTGGACAGGGACAGTCCTGTGGGAAAGGTAAGCTCTGCTCTTTGCCCCTCTCCTGCCTGCCACTCATACACAGAGGGTCTCTGGCACCAGCTACAGCTCTCAATTCCCAGCCTGCCAGGGGCCCCTCTTATCCTGTGGCTGGACAAACCCCCCATTCATTACGAGAGGCAGCCAGACTGGGCCAGTCACTCGGAAAGCCCAGGGTGCTCTGGGGGATGTTATTGCTCAGCAGCTAGATGATGGTGTGGTGCCATCTTCTAGCTACAAAACTGCACAAGCCACATGCTGCAGAGATGAGCCCAGCTCTGGTGTCTGCCTGCACCAGAGAGGCACAGGCATGTAGAGAAGGCTTGTGTTCAGGATGAGTTACCGAGACCCTAGTCTGCAGGAGACCCACCTCTGCTCTGTAGGGTAGAAATATTGCACTGGCAAGATTTCCAGTGATGCCACTGAGCAGGTAGATGATAGAGATGCGATGCCATCCTGCCAACTTCTCTAGGTCCCGCAGGATCGTCATTTGGAAACAGACTGAAACCAGACAGTGCAGGATCCTGCCAAGTTCAGAGTACAGGAGCTGAAGAAGCAGCAGCCACTGAAAGTCACCCCTGTGCTGGTGTTCTTTGCCGAGCCTTGCTGAGAGCTCCTGGTCCAGCCTCACCCACACCTCTAACAGCCCTCCCAGAAAACGTAGCATGGTAAACTTCAGCAGGGACAACAGCTCAGCACCCCCCCCGTGTTCCCCAGGGAAGGATCTGCCAGAACAAGCCTCATAGCAATCCCAGGGTTCAGGGCTCCCCCACCCAGACAGTGGAAGTTTTACACCTATGCTTACCCAGCATGAAGGAAAAGTGAGAGCCAGAGGCGGTAGAACTGGTCAGGAACTTCTGGATTTAGGAAAGGGAGGAGTCCACAAACGTCATCCATGCAGTGCACCTAGGGCAGAAGTGGGGTTGTGAGGTGCGCCAGCCAGCATGGCCCTTTATCAATACCAGGGCAGAGACTGCAGTTAGCTCTGAAAGGGGGGTTCTCCTTCTTCTCCGCTGTATCGCATCCTAACCCTTGTCTCCACCACCAAGTTACACATGACCCTACCCATTCCCTATGGCAGCTTTATGCCCTCATTCTTCACCCCAACACACACACGACAGACATCTGCGTTTGCTCGCCAATGGAGCAGGAAGGTTGCATTCTCCTGCTGCTTCCACAGTGGTCCTATGTTGGGCTTTCACAGCTGCCAGCCCAAGTCCTAAACCGGTCTCCAAAGAGGGACAGATGCAGTCAGCTCTGCCACTACTGTCTAGATCAGCAGCTTCCCCCGGGCTCAGGGTGAGACAGGACACAGGACTCCCACCTACACTGCAGCACAGTCATCCCCAGATCTTGCCAAGCTGCTAAGGGGAACAGGAGGGAGAAGGGCAGCCATACAAACCCCCAACTCCACACTTACCTGAGAGCAGAGTGTTGCCTCCTCATGGAAATAGCCCCGCATAAATTCACAATACTCCCGGGAGGTTATTTCACACCTGGAGGAGGCACAAGTAATCAAAATGAGGAACAAGTCACACGTGGAAGGCACACACACTCCCCCCGTCTCATCCCAAGTCTGCCTATGAGAACTGATGCCTCCAGCTGCCCCTGACGAGCTGTAGTGTCCCTGCAACAGATGCACTAAGGCATTCCCATTTGAGCCCAGTGTCACTCTCCATACACCCCTCTTGCTTCTCTCCCACACTCAAGCCTGAGTCACCTCCACAGACTAATGCCCTGCATACAGGGGCTCCAAAACAAGTGCTAAAACGGAACTAGTTACAGCTGAGAAAGAACCACCAGAGCTTGGGGAAGCTGTCTCTGGGGGAGTCTGGTGCTTCCATTGCTGACAGAGTGGAAAGGGGGGGCTAGGCCAAGAACAACCCGTCGTGACTTTCAGGGACAGAGAAACTCCGTGGGGCAGCACTGATTTTTCTCCCTAGCAGGGAAAGCCAGGCCCAAGCACTGGGTAATTACTCAAGCTGAGGAGCAACATGAGGAAGAACAGCATCTTCCTCCTTGGCAAACCCAGAGCAGGTTGTTTCCTGACATCTTGAATGCTCAGGGACACCAGGCTGGGGCCATTGTAGCCTGTCAGGACCAAGCTGGCCATTCCCAAGGAAAAGCAAAGAACTCCCCAGCAGAAGTATTTAATCCCTTGGGATCTGAGTCCCTCCAAACTGCAGGACCAGTTGAGCAAGATACCCTGCCGCACCGAAGACTCAGGCTGGCTGTTATCACCTGCTCATTCCAGAGTCCTGCTCCATCTGGGAGACCCGTCATGGCTCCCTGTCCAACTCCCCTTCCCAGCAGGGCTCTGGGCTGCGTATGGGAAGGACAAGGAGGACAAATGGCTGTGTCTACAACCTAAGAAGGGCCCCCTATGTCTCGCCCCAAGACCCAGCCCCTTTCCATACAGGTAAAACTCGTTACCTTCCTTTGGTCCCAATGCAGCAGGGCCGGCCTGTAATCACGCAGTCCATGTGAAGGTGGTTGGTGTAATTCCCAGCACTGCTTTTTGTGCAGATCTGGAAAATGACAACAGGCTGCAGTCAGACAGCCATGGCTTTGCTTGCTGCCTGGGTAAGGTCAAAACAGGCCCTTGGGAAGAAGCCAGTCCCAGAAACATGGGCCTCCCAAAGCCTCCCTCTGACACCAAAATGGGGACTGACACCCCATCTGCCTGAGCCATTGGAGCCTCAGTCAACACCTCCTCTCCGCCAAGGGATGAAAACAGCGCCTAGGCTGAGTCAGTCTCCATTGCCCTGTTACCCTGGCAGGGCCCAGGGCTTTAGCAGGGCTTTAGGTGGTGCGGGGGAACTTTAGTTGTTGGAGGGCTTCAAGCCTAGGGCTAGAAAAAGCCATGGTTGCCCTGATCTGGTGTTTGTGACAATGAGCAGGAGACTGCACCAGAGACCCCTTCCACAAACACAGCTGTGGCTCTGCACAATGGGATGCAAATGCCATATTCCAGCTGCCCATACAGGCCCCGTGCCACTGGCGATGCTCACCGGCCATTTGGTGATGTCATCTGGCCACTCATGCGGCTCCATTGAGGCTGGCTGCTCACACACCCTGCAGCAACAGAAAGCAGAGATCAGCCAGAGAAATTACTTTCTGCTGCACCAGCAGCAGGCAGGATCCCCCAAGGGAGCCACCACACTGTCCCTGTCCCAAGGCTGTGGTCCCACAGCTCCCCTCTGTCCCTGGCAAGGGGCTGGTGACACGCTACATCAGATCAGCCAAGGCTGGGCTGATCAAAGCCGCAGCCTCCTTCCAGTGAGCAGAGATCACGGCTTCAGCACAGAGGCAGCCATCCCAGAGCACACAGCTGCCCAGCAACTCACTGGCTCCTTTCCCGGTGGACACAACCCCAAAGGTGGGCCTTCAGCTGGTCTCAGCTCTACATCAGCCCACGGTGACCAAGGGCAAAGGTGTGCCATGGCACCCAGCAGCTGGCAGAGCTCCGGGGCAGAGGTGTTCTGGGAGTGTGACTGCTGTACCCCAAGAAGGGAGCCTGTGCGGGGAGCAGGTGAGGAGGGGGAGAGGGATGAGAAAGGCACTCACAGCTCACAAGACACTGTGCAGGTGGGCAGCCAACAGCAACGGAGACTAGGGGGAGCAGAAATACCACCACACTGCCTCTGCCTCCCTTGCAGCCATTGGGGCAGGTAG